ATGACAAGCAAAAATAAGTGTGAAGAAATCTTGTTAATGAGGAAGTGAGAAGATGAGATAGGATTCGATAGTCACCAGTATCGATTCCCGGCAAAAATCCATGGCAGACCAGTATCTCTCGCGTGTGGACGTCATCTCACGCGAAGCAAGTATGAAAAACAAGACGTTGTTGCCACACGTTTTGGGATACACGATTTTATATCAACTTAATGGACGCGGATGACTTTTTCTTTTGTTGACCCGAGGTTGACTTTGGGTTTAGATAATTCAATATGTATCAGTACCCACCATTCATATATGTAGTGAAACTTCAATCTTAACCGTCAACGTCCTTCACTTGTACTCTCTGTCACTTTATTTTTTTGATAAAATATTTTATAATATTGATAAAGAAATTATATAAAAAAGATGAAGTGTTCAAGAGTTGATGAAAAATTTTATTTTGAACGATTCTCTTTGATATTTCTTCTTTTTTTTTCTTTTTTTTTTTTCCAAAAAGGTAGCTCCGCATGATTTTTCACCGTCCAATTACGTGTCAGTAGGGTTACAAGACCATTTTTGTCTCCCTAGGGCCTCACCTGAAGGTGCTTTTCTTTCAGAGGACACTTTAAGAGTCTTTCACTTGGACTAGATGATTACACACATCATTTTTAAACAAAACACAACCCTAAACCATTTTTTTCAGTCGTGATCTGAACCACTGCAGTGCCATAACGATGGGTATCGTCATGACAGCCCATCTCACGGAGCCTCCGCTTCATCCTCCTTCTAGTCAAAATTTCATTTTTTAATAACATGGTTTGTTTATTTATTATATGACTATTAGATTATTAAATTTGGCTGAATTTTAGTATAATTAATTTTTAAAGAGTGACTTTGAAAGTAAAAGATTCAAATTATGTACACCAGATGAAAATAAATAAATAAAATAGAGCGAAATTATTTTAATGAGAATATTGCTATCATTACAATTAATGGAAGAGGAAATATAATGAGCCAGTGTTATATACATCCCCAAGTGAATGAGAACATTCAACAACGGCAAGTTGCTGCGGAGGAAAGCGCATGCAGAGACTTGGTCCAAATGTAAAGTTGGGTGTGAGAATGTGAGGACAAAAAGAGACTAAATTATATAAGGATTTATAAGTGGTTGTAAGACTTCTCATATTGCCAATTGATTTTATAAAAATGCTACTCTTACCATATATTTGTATCATTATTTATATCATCTTTCTAATAAAGATATGATTCATATGCGTTGGTGGACACTACAGTTATTAGAGAGATAAAATAAATGATAATATAAATAGGTAGTAAGTATAACATTACTCTTGATTTTATTGTTGAATATTAACTTTCTTAATTGGGAAAAATGTATGATACAAGTCGCATATTTTGTAGCTGCCTTTCTTTTAAGAACAATACTTGGGTACTCAACTGGGAGTACTGAAATTTACTCGCTTCTGATGTGCCCCAATAATATTACAACATGTAAACATGTGTATTTCAAAACTTTATCCCAATATTTGTATCTTACTAACCGAACACTCAATTATCATTTTAAACTCATAACCAAACACCCTTCATCTTCTTTCTCATTCTGTTAGATGCCATAGCTAATCCATATCCACGGACCCCAGCCACCCCATATCCTCCTTCCACCAGATCCCCCCACACCCCTGCATCAGAGGATTTGCTCTCTCTTTCGTTCTTTCTCTTCGAACCAGCATCAAAAGGAAGTGGCCGATAATGACATGGTTTCCGGCGAAGGGCAGAGAAGTGGTTCTGGGTACGTCTTTTGGGTAAATTACAGTATACAATTCAATTAATATGATCAAAGTCTTGGCCAACTCCAGGTGGGAAATTAAAAAAGTGGCCGCCATTTGATCATACAACTTGGACAAAATATATTACAGAATAAATTAAGCTTAACTATCGGTCTAACCACAATTTTATACTTCATATTTTAAATATTGCAATGTCATACATCGGTTAAAATTTCTGTCAATTTAACTGTTAAATGATGATAAGGTAAGAATAAAAAATTAATTAATTAATAATAAATTACTAATTCTTATTTAACAATTAAACTTAATTTAAAAAAAAAAAAAAAAAAAAAACTCTCGTCATTTCCCCAGAAATCCTCTCCTCCCCCTCCCTCCTCCGTCCCCCTTCTTCCTCATTCGTCCCCTTCACTCCCTCATCCGTCCCCCTTCTTCCTCGTCCATCCGCCGCCTTCGAGTCCACCGATTCGGACCAGCGAACCGAACGGACGGACGGAAATGAGAAGGTGTAGAGGTTGACACGCATCGGGGAAGCGAATCCGTAGAAGTGGTGGTAACCCAGAAAGTGGGAAAAAAAGGGGAAAGAAAAAGAAAAAAGTTTGACTGTAATGAACTTCCATTCTTCAATTAATATTATGGAGGATTTCGAAAATCCGGAGTTCTGGGCGAATTTTCAAATGGCCACTTCTTGAATTTTTGAAAATTTAATTTCTCTAATTTCTTGAATTTTCTGGGTTTGTATTTGTGTTTTTTGTTTTGGGTTTTGTTTTTGTGGGGTTCGTCGTTTTGGCTTCCTGGAACTCTCCCTTTGCAATTTTATTTGGTGGTTTTTCTTAGAAAAATGCCGGGGCTGTGGAATATCAGTGGAGAACCCTGCAGTGGATCTGCCATCAACGGCACCGATTTTGATAGCCCCGATAACAACCCAGCCATCGTTTGCGACTGTTCTTACGACAACAATGCTACATGCCACACCACCAAACTGTATGTTAAACTACTATCTCTTGATGAACAAGATTTCCATGCCTCTCCATATATGTTAACGTCATAATTTGACACTGTAGCTCCATGCCACTGCTGATTTTTCAGGCAAGTGTATGCTCTTAACAAACGAGAGGTGTTTCCGAAAGAATTTGTGGCTCTAAGATATCTCACATCTTTGTACGAATTTTTTTCAACTCCCTTCTCTGTTTTCGGTTCATCAAAATCATATATTGGCTATTAAAAATTGTAGAATTATAAGAGAGACGAGCTTCCAACACCACCGATACTGTCTTCAACTTGATAATCACCACCTGCACTATCCGTCAGGTGTGGGGTTTATCTCAAAGGGCCTCATATACAAAACATGGTGATGTTGTAAGATTTGGATATTTAAACTCTTCTTTTTTTTATTTCTCTAGCCGATGTGGGATTTCTACAAAAATATGGTGATGTTGTAAGATTAAGAGTTAACGATTACACTTCCTTTCAATTTTTGTAGGAGTATCGGTAAGAATTATTTCACCGGTCCCCTACCGGCATTCATTGGCAATATGTCTGCATTGACTGAATTGTAAGTAGTGAGAGAACATTTCTTTAAGTACTCATACTCCTGATGAGATCCGTAGCAATTTGTATACTTCATTTTGAATATCATAATCTACAGTTATGTTCTTTACACCTTTTCGCTACTATTTATGCCGTAATCTACAAAAAATCATTATGCTTTTATTGAATAATGCAGTACTAGTTTCCTGTTATGTAATGTAATTCATTGGCAATAACGCAGTACTCATCTCCATTCAGGTATATTCCATTAAATTCATTCTCTGGGCCCATCCCCAAGGAGCTTGGAAACCTTAAGGAGCTAACTCAGCTGTAAGCCATGAAAAATTAGAGAGCGTACAATAAAATTTTGTGTCGTAAACATTAGATACAGAACCTGTTGTTATAAGCTAGAAATCTGGTTATGAATGAACAATCCAAGAACAGAAAATGAGAAGGATAACAATTGAAGAATATTCTGAAGGTTTCTCTCTAGCAAAGCATATTCTCTTCATCTCTCTACAATTCATACACACTCTGTGCTTTACATAACCGTTGGAATCCAAGGTGGATTCTCTCTCTTCACAAAACAATCTCAGCCTTACATCTAGCTAGTTGCTAGGATCATTACACCTGGCATTGTTTGCCTTACTACATTAGAGCTGCACACTTGGTATTTTAAACTCAAGTGAATACACAAATTTGATACACATCTTATTTCCTAATCAGCTATATACTTACAATTCAACACAACCTTCTATCACTCTTCAATAATTGCTTTCAAGTAAGTGTTTGCCCGTTCAACATGACTTGCAGGAGCATCAAATCAAATAATTTCTCCGAAACACTCCCTCCAGAACTTGGTAATTTAGTCAAGCTCAAGCGACTGTAAGTGCTTCGTTAAATCATCAAATTTGAATTACATGTTAATTCCTTACGGATGAGCAAAAATTGCACTTTATCGTATGAAATGGGTATTAATCAGTTGCCTTATGATTTTCCCAGTTACATGGACAGCTCTGGAGTCGGTGGTAAAATTCCTTCAACATTTGCCAAGCTCACCAAGATGCAAAAGCTGTAAGAACGGCTCTTAAATCGTATTTTAGATTTGTTCGTTTATCCAGTACTTTGAGATTGCTTTTCTTGGATGAGCTTAGAATAAGTCAACTTTTTGAATTTTAGCTGGGCATCGGACAATCCTTTCTCAGGAAAGATACCTGATTTCATAGGGAATTGGACACAACTCACTTCTTTGTAAGTAGAGAAACCTTTGATCTTTTGCAGTTTATGAAAGCAGACCTGAGATGGATAATTTGTTCACAAGCTTCTTATATGTTTCTGTAGGCATTTACAAGGGGGCTCTTTTGAAGGCCCAATACCAACCAGCTTTTCTAAATTGATCTCATTGGAGTATCTGTAAGTACAAATGTTTCAAAAATTGTAATTCTCTCTCTTTCTCCGAAGACGGGATTTCAGTTTATTTTACCCAATTCAAGTTTCTCTGCTCTGACATTAACACACAGAAGTAAGAATGCTTTCACGAAAGTAAAACTTACGTCATACTGTTTTGTGAATGTGCAGATATTCTAGGATTAGGCCCCCGACCATATACTTTCAGTTATGCTGAATTGAGAGCTGCAACTGAAGATTTTAATCCTTCAAATAAGCTAGGAGAGGGATGATATGGCCCCGTTTATAAGGTGAAATTCGTATTACATCAATATCATGTACTTGAAGTAATGACAAGAGAAAGGAGAGAGAGAGCAAGAGAAGAAAATAGCTTTTGTTTTCTTTCCTTTCACCTCACGAAATTGTCTTTCTGTGTACATTGTAGGGTACACTTTCTGATGGTAGAGTAGTGGCTGTGAAGCAACTTTCAGTATCATCTCACCAAGGGATGAGGCAATTTGTATCTGAAATTGCTACCATATCTGCTGTGCAACATCGGAATTTAGTGAAATTGTATGGATGCTGCATTGAAGGCAGCCACCACATTTTGGTTTATGAGTATCTTGAAAACAAGAGCCTTGATCAGGCACTTTTTGGTACAAACCTATCTACCTTTAGGTTGCACAAAAACAACATTGTTTGCAATTTCAAGCACTCTAAAATTGTTAAGAAATGTTTCTGATTGGATGTGTTCACTAATATTTCAGGAACAAGTAACTTGCACCTTGACTGGCCTACTCGATTCAATATATTGTTAGGAACAGCAAGAGGACTTGCTTACCTTCATGAGGAGTCAAAGCCAAGGGTTGTACATCGAGATGTCAAAGCTAGTAATATTTTGCTCGATGCAGAACTCTCCCCAAAAATATCAGATTTTGGATTGGCAAAGCTTTATGATGACAAGAAAACCCACATTAGCACCCGGGTTGCAGGGACAATGTAAGCCATCCTTTATTGTTTTTCCATAGGTTACATATATTATAGCCACACACATTTATACTTGCATGAAATTATAAGACACATCATGTTAATAATGCCACTAATGATCTCAAGAAACATTGTGCAACCATTTGATTATCTTGCATTGTAGAGGCTATTTGGCACCAGAGTATGCATTGTTTGGCCATTTGACAGAGAAGGCCGATGTGTTTGGTTTTGGAGTCGTTGTTTTGGAGATCCTCAACGGAAGACCAAACTCTTACAATAACTTGGATCCAGAAAAGATTTATCTTCTTGAATGGGTAGGAATTGCTTTCGCTTAGCTTCATTTTGGCATTGTTGTGAAGAACTTATTTATACGTTCCTTTGACCGTGGCATGATGTTTTTTTAGGTATGGACTTTACATGAAAACGACCAAACTCTCGGGCTGGTGGATCCCAGATTGACAGAGTTTGACAAAACTGAAGCGACTAGACTGATAAGAGCAGCTCTCCTGTGCAGGCATCACCGATGACGAGGCCATCTATGTCACGCGTGGTGGCAATGCTCTCTGGAGATATTGACATAGGCACTGTCATGTCAAAGCCGAGCTATTTGACAGATTATGATTTTAAAGATGTAACGACATCGTTAACAAGTAGATTTTTGGGGGAGGATGATACCCCATCAACTTCATCCAAAGGTAGTAATGTTCGCCTCAACTATCAATCGGGAGGCAACAATGCAAGTGGTGCTTCTGTAAACGTCACTTAATCATTGCTAGTTGACATTAAAGGAGAAGGAAGGTGAGAAATATTGAGAACTGATTTTCACACGCTCTTTTTACCCCTTCGTAGATGCCTATAAACAAAATCCACGAGTTGGCTCTAGATGAGTTAATGCCAATTGTTGATTCATTAGTGTCACCATATTGTGACTCTTTGGTAAGGTTTTTGCATAAGCAACCTCTTTTACATGAATGATTATTAATTGTTCGTCGCTCAATGTCACCTGAAGAAAATCTTTGATTATTACTTGTTTCTCACATGAGTGGTCTCAACGGTGGGGCTGGGTAAAACGAAAATGTAGGGAAGTTCATGCTCACCAAAGCAAATCCCAATTGAAAAATAACCTCGAATCAACCAAAAATTCCAAAGTAAGATCAACCCATTTAAGGCTATGGTGCTCATCTAGTTGTCTTTGTGCCCTTTTTCTTTACATTTGGAAGTGCCAGTGCCAGATCACTTGAGGCAACAAGTCCAGGCCCCACATTTTATTCGTTTTTATTGCCCCACTCAAAGTGACTGTTAGAATTTGAACGTTATAAGCCTACCGTTTTCCAGTCCCACTTTTTTAGTTCTTGTCACTCACTTTGCTCCTCTACAAAAGTATTAATTACATGTATATACACACACACACACAAACACACACACACACACACTTATTAGCAACACATATGCCCCTATATATACTTTCTCTTAGTCTCATCAGAACTCAAAGAAAGGAGAGCTTTGGAGAAGTGAAAGCAGTAGCATAAACTAGAAGAACAAAGGGAGACATCTTAATCTCCCCCCAGAAGCTGAAGTTGCTGCCTGTCAAGAAGTGTTTGTATGTGGTCAAGGCAAACACCTTCTTGACCATCTTATTTAGCTTCAAATTCGCATTCACTACCTCTTCTAGAATCACATCGAACACGTTCCCGAAATCAGCCGTCCAGTCCTGGCTTTTGATCAAAGTTTGCATATATTCGGCCCTCCAATTAAGATCCTCGCCTTGTATCGAATGCAGCTGAGGGTCTTTGCTTTAGGTGACCACATTTCCCTTCCACGGCTCATCACTCAATTGAAGCAACAAAAGCCCCAAAGCCAAACCCACCGACAAGGTGTTGTCGACATCACTCATCCAACCAATTCTTCTGCTTCCCCTGATTTGAGTAGACCTCCATCATTTCCTTCCACTTAACATCAGCCTCTTGCTCAAGCTCAAAATACTTGATATAGCTTAATATGTCATGCGAAAGCAGCGCTGCACGCCAGGATCAACCTCATTAGCTACAGCCAGTTGCTCTCGCTTGTACTCCGCTCTATAACCCCACCGGTTGGCAGGTACCCTGGCCTCTGGCGCCATAGTTTTTCTCAAGGGCGACAAAACCTCCTTCATCAGTCGGTCAATACAACAAAGACTACTATCCCCTTCTCAGAGGCATGATTCTGACCGGAAAACCTTCCTCGCAATGTTTTCGAACAACATATGATGATCAGCGATGGTAGGCAAAAAGGTAACTACTTGGGTAATCTCCAAGCAATAATCATCATGATGGTCATGGTCATGGTCCTTATGATGATGAAATTTTTCAATATCAAACTTGAGGCTCTGGGCAAAAATATCCAAAACACGGTTGTGCAAGAAGCAATAATCAACGTCGCGCTTGTATTTCTGAGCCGCCTTGTTGGCCGTGTGGATCACCTTCCTCCTCAACAACAATTCGCTTACCTCTGACTTGGCATCCTTGACCTTCACCATTCCGTTTGAATCCGCCTCTTCCCTCGTCCTTCCAGTAAATTTCAAGTGAGCTTCGCCTCGTAAAACTTGCAAAAGAATGCAGGGAAGGTGTAGGATATGTCCAAAGGAGCCGGAAATTGGCACAAGATTGTATGCAAGGGTTTTCGAGTGGTTCTGGTGGAGCCAAACCGCCGCTGTGAAGAAAGCTTCGTCTTGGTTGCGTTTTTCACCGTCGCCGCGTCTGTCTATGAAATTGCAGATGAGTTTGTGTGTGGTTAGAGGATTATGCGACCAGGCCAAGGGAAGCACTTGGTTCATCAGAGTTTTGTGGAATTCCACGATCGACATGGCGTCCTTGGTGTAATGGAAGTACATATCAACGTAAGGGTTATTGATGTTGTGGAAGCCTAATTGGAGGAGCAATTCTTGTGAATTGCGATCAAACAACCTTGTTTCGGCATGCTTCCAGAATCAATATCACTAGCAAGAATGCCCGCGCTTTGCTACAGGTTTTCAAACCATGAATAACATTCGTAGAAAAATTAACTGAAAATGCTACAGAAATACAATCGCATTCTTAAATGTAGCAATTCAGACAACACATGAGTAACGCTCACAAAACCACACATTTACACAATTATCTCCAAATGAAAGAAAAAGCAAGAGATAGGTGAATTGATCCATAAAATAAGTAGTTCAATTTACATTGCTACTCTCTTGTAACTTATTAGAGCTTCTTTGCAGATCAATCATAATGATTTTTTCATTGCTTTCACCAAATATTTCTATAGTTTTCTAGTAGTCCAATTGATAGAAAAAATAGCAAGTGCGATTTTATTCGCTGCTTTGAATGTGTTGTAAAGATAATACCACCAACTAAGGGTGGCAATTGATTCTTGTAATAACATACTATAAAAGTAAAGGTATGGATAAAAAAGAAAATGCATCCTTTGAAAGATATAGAACAAACCTGGAATTCAACGAATTGTTCTTTTACAAAGCGCAACCCCAAACTTGATTTCCCAGCTCCAACATCCCCAAGAAGCACCTGAAGAAGAACATCAAACATCACTGTGGTGATCATGATATGCAATACCCAAAGAAAATAAACCTATTCATCACATAATGCTAAAATACATATGCCTACATATCCATAATTCCTATGTTTACGAAACATCTTTCGATAAATCACAACCTTCATTTTAAAATGGACTTTTGTATTTATATTTTGCTTGAGTATGGTCTTGGTTAAAACTTAGCATTCTAGCATTTACTTATATGATATCATATAGCAAGAAAGCTTTGAGACCAAGTCACAGTTTATTGTATTCTCGGAGACCCTCAAAATACCAAAGCTAGACAGAGATAAACAACACGAAAGAGAAATTTCTGCTTCACATGTACACTGACATTTGCATGAGCAGAGCTCTCTTTCCTCCTTTCTTTTCTTCCTCACCTGTTGGTTCTTTCCCCTAGATTAAGGAGATTGTTGTTTTATTGTTAGTGGTTGCCATCGTCATCACATTCAAATCAACTTTAGTTAATACTAGCCTCCCTACACGCACTCACGCGCGTGCGGAAGACCCTTTTGTAATTAAGGCGTTCTACGTGCGACTTATATAATTTAAATGATAACAAAATAACGGTTGATCTCTTATCTAATTGCAGACACAATCTACAGAACCGTCTTCTATTGAACTTGTGAAGTGTGGGGTGGAGACCTGAATGTAACAAATTGGTGTTAAGTGAATAATTCCAAACATATAAAATTTTGATCATCGCACCGAACGCAAACAGAACAATTAAATAAAGAACTGAAGGCATACACAATCTAATTAGACAAGGTGAACTTTCCCATGCCGAAATCTGAAAGACCAAAAGAAATATCTCATTACACAGAAGACAAAACTTAGTAGTACAAAACTTAGAATTAATCAAACATGGTGAACCAATTATAGAGAACATAACCCTTGTAACCAATCGGGAAAAGATGCTTTTAAATCCTAGAAGAAAAAAAAAATTAAGAGTTTTTAAAAAACCATCATTTCAATTATTTTCCAGTCTTACATTTGGGATTAAACATAAAATATAACTAAAAATGCCAACTTTCTAAAAAAACGTACTGACTATTTTTACAAATTTCCATTACCCAATACTGAAAAATGAGAATCACGAAGCAATGAAGAACAGAACACACGAGAACCAAAAGGTTAAAAACAACACGTAACCATTTCAAAGACCCAAAATCCTGCAAGGACAAAAAAAACCCATAAAATCAGTACATCAGCGCTCCCTGCAAAACCCCAAAATCAGAAAATTATAAAAAGAACCCAAAATCAATGACATGGTCCTCATTTCTCCATCATTCAGTAGCTAATGACCTAATGGAAAAGAACCCAAAATGACAGCTTAAAATATGGAAATTGCTTATAAAAGCTCATGAATAACTTTCGAAGCCTACATAGAAATGGTATAGCGCATATAACAACACACAATAAAACTTTGCACAGTATAACCTAAATCCGATATGTTGCATTCCCCACACACAGATTGTTCAAAATTAATTTCGTCTCCGTCTTCTTTCAAATCTGATAAAATCCCCAAAACACAAAAAACAGCAGCTAACTATTTTTTACTCTGTAAACAACAATATGCATCTTAACCCATTTAACATATTCATAAAATAACATCAAACACATTTAACCATGAGATAATATAGAAGTGAAGTCTCACAACTTTCATAAAAAATTATTACTTGCTTAGAGAAAGGCTTGAAAAAATATGTAAATTACTCACATCTATTACAAAAATGTTACAACAGCTGATAAAAAAGGCCAAAAATACAAAAAGCCGCACCTCCTGAAATAAAAAACAGAACCAAACAACACATTCACAATATCAATCTAAACGATATCCAGAAAAAAAGAAATGAACAGACAAAACCCATGTAAATATACAGAACAAACCAAAAAAAAGAAAGAACTGAAGCCAGTAAGAAAATGACAAATCTGATACAGCAAAAGGTAACACAATGTATATCGATTTAATTATCCATCCAAAAAGACATTTGAACGAAGAATATTTTTAAGGATCCAAACAACCATTAAACTAAACAATTAAAAGTAAAAACAGCAAAGCATTCATTGAAGATAACGTATTTGGCTCTTTATACCTAAAAGAAAAACATTGGCTTTCTTGTATGCACTGAAGTATGCATGTGTCTGAAATTTACAATCTACAGAGACTCAATCTCAGACTCAAAAGACATTTAAAGGAAAAGTAATAAGAAAAATAAGTAGTGGTTACACCTATACTCCATGTGTGGACTGCAATTTCCAATCACAATTCAAACTTCTAGAGGCCTATAAATCAACCACATAGGAAATGATCAGTAGAAGAAAAAGAAAAACAACTGAAGCCAAAATAGCATCTAACAAATCATTTAGAACCATCACAGAAAACAATTTTTGCATATAAGTAATTTAAAGGAATACCATCAGGTCATGCATATATACAACGTACCCAATTAGATAAGTAGCACATCAACAATTGATGATCAAAAAGTTATTCAACCTCAATTGCTTGAATCTAATTAACTCAAAGATAATAAACAGTCCATTTAATGCACGGGCTGACTGTCAATTTTACAAAACCATAATTCTGTGCAGTTCAAAAACCAAGTGGAAGAATAGGCAAAAACTATCTCATCGCCTGTAAATGTAATTAACTAAATATTAAACTTCACAGCCACAAATAAACCTAAATTCCTCCTAAAACTATCTCATTTAAGCTTGATTTTACTGTAATCTATAAGTGTGGTAAAAAATGGGAGGCCAAACGATTTGTTAACAAAAAAGGTAGACATAAAAGTAAAAGGAACAGGGCAGACAATAGTTGAGGAGAAGCTAATGTCACCTTGAATTGACAACAAACAGTTCTTATCTTCTCAAATTAACGAAGATAAGTACCATTTTTTGTTAATTCAAGGTAATATAAAAAGAAACTATACCTGTACAGTGTTCAGATGTAGCAATCCTATGCAATCAGCCAAATGATGGGTGTCCTCTCAAAGATCTGTATATCCATTACAGACTAATCTTCAGTCTTGCAGAAAATGATATGTTGACTACAAATTCCCGTACTAAAAAACACAAATAATTCTATCTACAAACCAAATAATATGTGCAACTTTATGCTACAATGGTAGAATAAGATGGTTGTACAGGACAACATAAAGATTGAGATTTTTTTTTACTTCTAAAATTCTACACACTTTCGAGCCCTAAATTTTCCCGGAAACAAAAGAAAGTGAAAGAAGTTGTACCTGGTTTGAGAGAGTGGACGCTATCAGCGAGTTTGGTGGAGCTGTGATGGCGGAGATCTCTGGTGAGAAAGCTAATAAGATGGACAAAATCATTGAACAAAAAAAAACCTCGATTTTTAAAATTAAAGTCAACAAAAATTTGAACAAAGAAAAGAGAACTCAAACCCGAAACAAATAAGTCGGAGAACTCACCAGGAAACCCAAAGTGTCTGCAGGATTGGCGATTTCCTGAAAACCAAGCTTTTGTAGGTTTAAAATTTCTTCCCTAAGGCAACAGATCCAACATTCTCAACTTTAGCTATTTCAGCTACATAATAGAAAGAAAAAAAAAATTATTTTATATAATTAACTAATCTGATTTAAGATTAATTGAAAAGCTTGGAAATTTCAGCTTTAAAATTACATGTCAGGCTGCAAATCTAATAAAAAGCGTAGAATTTTAAAAATGCTGACCTTAAATACAGAGGCCTTCGCAGGCTGCAAAGAAACGTCAGAAACCCGAAAAACCGGATCTCCTGAAACCAAAAACAAAACCAAATTAACCACCATCACCCATAATTCGAAGCCACAAACAAAATCCCCAATATTACAACCCAAATATTTAAACAAAAAAACCCATTTATAAATCCAAATTTACACTCCCAAGTGCAAGACTCTAAGCTCCAACTGTTCTTTCTCAACTGTAGCTATTTCAGCAATATGAAGACTTTAAGCCACAATTGTTCTTTCTTAACTTTAGCTACTTCAGTTACATAATCAGAAAAAAAAAATTAATTATATTAACTAATCTGGGTTAAAATCACACCTCAGGCTGCAAGTAGAATCAAAACCTTGGAATTTCAAAATCACTGACCTTAAACACACATGTCTTCGCAGGCTTCAAAGAAAAGTCACAAACTCGAAAAACCCAATCTCCTGAAATCGAAAACAAAACCAAATTAACCATCATCACCTATAATCCGAAGCTACAAAACAAAATTCCCAAAATCACAACCAAAAAATTTGAACAAAAAACCCATTTAAAATCCAAATTTACACTCCCAAGCACATTACATTCAAAGCAGACAATTACCCAACGGTAGACAGAGAACGAGAGATAGAGAGAGAGGTGAAAATTCCTCGCTGGTGACGAAGCTAATGAATTCGGAGACGCATTCCCGGACGGTGTTCGACTGATCGGCGCGAGTAGAGAGATGAGATCAGAAAGACAGAAAAATTAGGGTTTGAGATCAGAGAGAGACGGAAAGAAAGAAGCAGAAAAGAGGATGGCAACTGAAACCTTCCAGCGACTTCGTTCTTTAAAAATAGCTTTATGACAAAATTACCCTTGGATAATTTTGTGCATTCATTTTAGCCGTTTCGAATTTGTTTTGGCCGACAGGCATTTGCGTCCAATTCTTTTGTCGAGGCCGGTGACACCAAAACCGGCCTCCGGCTTTCTATATAAAAGATAATTAACTTTAATAATTGTAATAGAAAGTAATGATTATGTCCAACCTTTGGGTCTACATTTGTAGGCTGTATCTAAAAAAAAATACTAAAAAAGTTCAAACACAAAACCCCCCAAAATATAAAATCAAAATATAATGCCCCATTACCTAGTTTTTTTTTTTTTGGTATATCTTTTTCAACTAAACCCTAAACCCCGAACAATCTACCGCAAATTTTTCAACATAACATCCACTTTGCAAATTTTTGTGGAACCACTTTAAAAATTCAAATCTTTAAGCACCTGATGATCAGATTTACTAGAAATTCAAAACTTCAATAGGTATCCCTCCTTACCACAGATACGTAGTTTTAAAAATAAAACCAAAAGGATTCATTCCATTTAACATATACCTGAAAACTACCATAGTAATATTGATTAATTAAACTACTTTTTAAATATACCCAGCAAGGTAACTTTTGGGTTTGACAAAAATTTTAAACCTACGAATGGGTATACCAAAATCAATTTGTAAGTATGATAAAAGTCCCTATGATGGTATCAAAGCAACTATAATCACAAACAAGTTGAGAGATTACTTTCTGATTATCAAAGTCACTACTGGATTTATGTAGATTACTTTCTCATTATACGTTGACCATAGTGGTCGGTTGAGTCGAGCTTGAGCGCGAGCCCAATCAATCAACCTTGGCAGCCTGCCGGGGAGAAATACCAGCAGCCAGCTACAAGTGGCATGAAAATTCAATATTTGTGTGTATGATTTCACAACAAGTAATTAAGGGTGTTGATTAAAAGTCAATCTAAAAAGTTGACCTTTTGTAAAGATACTAAATAAAGTTTTTCCATATCAAAGTTTTTAATCTTTAGTTACATGTATGAACGAGAGACGAAGTAAATAACTTTACATGGAACCCAATGAGAGCTCTATTCCCTTTAGTCTCATTCTTTGCACAATTTATTGACACTTAAAGATACTGGAAAGGGGAATCATATTTCACATACAAATATACATAGCATTTACGCGCGTTATTTTTATTCTCTTTTCTTTTTTAGAGCGGCATAATGATGTATGTGGAGTGCCAATAATAGTTCGAAAGAACAAAAAAAAACACATAAGACTCTAAGAGTGAGAAATGCAAATGCCAACACCAAAAACAATTTTTGCATGAATTAATTTTAAAATAGAATTTAAAAACTAAACAATTGTGATCGTTGAACCACGTTTCGAAATAGTTTAAATATACACATATCAAATCATCGACATCGTGTATTAACGTCTTTTGTCCTATTTATTATCATATAGTTTTGCTAGATATATAGCATGCTGAATATTTGACATAGTAACTGAAAACCAGTTTTACATTTTCACTTGGGAAGAAAAAATGAAAAACACAGGTTTGAGGTTTACATAGTTGCACCAATTTGTTTGGCATTCTGATTGGGTTATTTCGGCTACATGTTTTCTTTCCTCTGAATGAAAATTAGATTAGTGCTTAGGATTGTAAATTTGGTCAAACTTGTTCCTCTATGGGCCATATTCCATTAATTTAGCAAACATTTCAGAGCCAGTACGTCACTTTCTTTTTTGGGTAAATTAGAATTTGCACCCTCTAGTTTGGTTTCTAATACAACATTATACAACATCTTTAAAATATTTCAATCTCCTACATTACGTATTATTCTATTTCAATACTATATATACGTTAGTCAAAACGTTAATTTCACCGTTACTTAATTGTGTGACAACTACAGATCCCATTATTTTACTGAAGTGGCAGTCAATAACATGCCACATGGGACAAATAAAAATAAATTTGTTTTAGATTTCTAAGAAAGAAAAATTAAAATATGATTTTTTTTTCTTTAAAACCCCACCTTATAAATCTTCAAACCCTCCTTCTCCACGCACCAACAATTAAGGGGATGTAGTCAAACTTAGATTTGAGAAGATTTTAAAAGACTTTAAAATCTTAGTGTGTTCAACTAAAAGATTTTAAAGGATTTTAGAATTCATTCAAATTTAGGTATGGTCGATTAATTAAAGGATTTCAAAATTCATCCAAATCTAAGTGTACTCAAAAAATTAAGGAGGGTGTAGTCAATTTGGATTTCACAGGATTTTAAAAGACTTTATAAAGTGACAGATTTCAAAGGATTGTAGAATCCTTACAACTTTTAGATGGATTTTTAAGGATTCTTATGGATTTTGATTAAAGATTTGAATGGATTTTGAGAGATTTATTGTATTTAAAAAAAAATTATTTTTTAAATAGAAAATAAAGATTAAAAATAATAAAAACTTGAAAAGAAAATTTAAGAACTTCACCTAGTTCTCCCTACCCTCCATGTTTTAATTGGACATAGCACATGCCATTTTCTGCCACTACCATTTTATTCCTCGTTGCAGAGGACCTCAAAATCATAAAATGGAATAACTGCTTCAGCGTTACATCAACCTTACAAAAGTAACGAAAAACTTCTCACAAGTAACCGACATCAAAGCATTGTTGACGCATTAAAGAAAATATATTGTTCAACCATGAAGAGACACAAACAACAACAATTAGAGGGATTCAATAGTCAACCCATACCAATCACATTGGTATTTACGAAATTTCAAGAAGAACCCTATCTCTAAAAACATCCATGCAATTTACAAACGAATATATACAGTATACTTAACCAAAACTTGAATTAACCCTATCTCTAACTATGTATTGCGACAACACTGTAAATAGGTTCACTCCTATGTAAGTAGGAAAACGATATCAATATTAGCAATGAAGCTCAGATTACCTCGTCAGGGAGGGATGCAGTGGATAATTAGCTTGATTTGCCTTTGTGTGTTATACACCTCCAAAAAGCAATCTAAATAAGAAGAAATATTCTCAATGAAATGGGAAGAGAGAAAGAAAGAAAGCTCGGTTGTAGAGTGGAGAGAGAGAGAGAGAGAAAGAGAGAGAGAGAGAGAGAGAGAGAGAGAGAGATAGATCAAAGGGGGTTGAAATAAATCCTAAGGGTGGAGGTATGATTCTTTATAGTCTTTTTAAGCTTACCATCTATTCTCAAATCCTACAAAATCTATAAATTTTTTAATACATATAGATTTGCATAGACTCAATATAAATCCTTTAAAATCCTAGTTGACTATCCCAGTATCCTAAAATATTTTAAAATCCTTTAGTTGACTACCCCTGTATTTGAATGGACTCTCTTAAATTCTTTTAAAATCCTAGTTGACTACTCCTCGATTCTAAAGTCTTTTAAAATCCTTTAAAATCCCTCTAAATCCTTATTTGACTACACCCCCTAAGATTTTAGAGGATTTCAATAAGTTGTGGATTTTGTGGGATTTGAAAGTAAGAAGTATATATAACAAAAATTAAAAAGAATCCAACTTCACCTCCTAGGATTTCAAATCCTTTTCCATCTACTGCTACTGCTGCTGAATAAGTAGTCACAGACGAGCAAAGGATCATTAGAAAACATGACTGTAGTTGCATCACATTGTACAAGAAAAGCATACAATTGGAAAATTTAAAGACTAAATATATTGGCGGGGGCAGGGCCTGGAGAGGAGGAAGGCAGTTCTTTGGACATGGTAAGTTAAAACCATCAAAGCTGCGAGGGCGCCCAACGGACAATACCAATTCGTACAATAACTCCAATTAACACCCCCAAGACTCAGTTTCCTTCGCTGCAATTTCAGTCACAACCCTCTATGCAAATACACCATATTTTTTTGCAAGACCCAGTCGCAGAAGCAGCACAGCACCCTAAAGCTCCAGAAATTGAAAATATTCAGAGCTCCATTGGGAAGATTTTCCCTTTTTTTATTTCAATAAAAAAAATTATATGAAAATCTACCACAATCCATCAAAATCTACAAACTAAATTCATTCAAATTCTTTAAAATCCATATAAATTTTGTAAGAGTCTTAAACCTTCTTAAATCCTATTAAATCTATCACTCTTTTAAAATCTCTTAATATCCCTTAAAATCTTAGTTCGACTACCCCTAAAATCCCTACAACTAAATAAAGCAACATCTCCCCAAACCAACCG